ACCCTCTCTCTCTATCTTATTCCTAATCCCCTTCTACTCTAATATTTCTATTAATCCTTACTACATTCCTAATTCATTCTATTAAATTATTATTTAACTTTATCCTTTTCTTTTAATTTTATCTTTCCTTAATTTTAATTTCTTCTTCTCTTTCTTCTTCTCTTTCTTCTTCTCTTTCTTCTTCTCTTTCTTCTTATTCTTCTTATTCTTCCTCTCTTTCTTACCCTTTACTTAAACTCTTTCTATCTTATCTATCTTTACCTTCTATTCTTTTCTTTCTAAATTAACTTATATACTCTTTTCCCTTCTCTAAACTTACGAACCCTTATATGATCCCTTACTTAATCTCTTACTATCTTCTTTTCCTTACTATCTCTACCTTTTCCCTTCTCTAAACTTACTAACCCTTATGTGAACCCTTACCTAATCCCTTACTATCTTCTTTTTCTTACTATCTCTACCTTCTCCCTTTTTTTACTTCTTATATATCTTATATTCTTCTTCTAATCTACTTATTAAATCCTAACTTTAATCCTTTCTTCTCTTCTCTACTCTTTCTTCTTTCTTTCTTATTCTTCTCTCTTATTTATTTAATTATGAACCCTTCTCCTCTCTTATCTTATAATTAATCTAATCTCTTTTAATCCTTATTCTCTCTATCCTAAATTCTCTTGTCTTCTATTATTAATGACTCTCTTTTTTTCTTATTCTATTTAATAATTCTAAATCCTAACCTTATCTTTTACTCTCTCTCTCCTCTCTTTTATATTATAACCTATATTCTTAATTATACTAACCCTTACTCTATCCCTTATCTAATCTCTTACTAAAATTCTAATTATTCTTTTTTCTATATCTATCTCTTCTTTCTTTTCTTTTCTTTCTTCTTTCCTCTTTCTTTTCTATCTATTATCTTCTTACTATCTAACCCTTACTCCATCCTTAATCTTTCCTCTAATTTTAACTTATTATTCTTAAATTCCTATTACTTAATACCCTCTTTATCTCTAACTCTCTCCTCTTATTCTATCTATCTCTCTATTAAATCCTTATTCTCTTTAATAATTCTAACCCTTACCTTAATATATTAATAATTTCTATTTTATTCCTAACCCTTATTCTCTCTCTTATTATTACCTTTTATTTTCTTTTCTTTTCTATTCCCTTTCCTCTTCCCTTTCCTCTTTCCTTTCCTCTTCCCTTTCCTCTTCCCTTTCTTCTTCTATTTTTAATTATATTTATTTCTTCTCTTTACTAAAACTCTCTCTATCTTATATATTTCTACCCTTATTCTTATCTTAAACTTACTAACCCTTACTCTATTACTTATCCTTCCTTACTTTATTCTCCTTACTACCTCTTACCTTCTATCTATTCTCCTTATTTTACTAAATACCTCCCTCTCTATCTCTTATCTACCTTATGGTCTACCTGATATATAATCTCCCTGGGGCCTTTTACCTGCATTACTATCTTACTACCCTACTTATCTATTTACTTATTATCTTACTACCTATCTTACTATCTCCCTTACTATCTCATACACTACCTTACTCACTTCCTATCTTACTATCTTACTCACTAGCTCCCTTATTGCCTTACTCACTGCCTATCTTACTACCTCCCTTACTATCTTGCTTACTGCCTTGCCCACTAACTACCTTACTACCTATCTCACTGCCTACTTCTCTCCTGAATGTGGTTAATATTATATGTATTCTCTAATGTCTTATTTATATATATATGCCTGTGTATAAACCACGGATTTAGCTAACATACTCTATAAACTAACTGTATAATATATATCTCTGCGTATTATGGTATCCTAAAATGTATATATTCATTTATATATTACTACTGATTAACCTTAATCTCCTGATATTACTGCCTCTCTTACTGCCTACCTAACTATTAACCTTACTATCTACCTTACTATCTACCTCACTACCTGTCTTACCACCTATCTTACTGCCTATTTTACTGTCCACCTTACTATCTACCTTACTATCTACCTTACTGTCTACCTTACTGTCTACCTTACTGTCTACCTTACTATCTACCTTACTGTCTACCTTACTGCCTGACTCACTTACTATCTTACTTACTGCCTGTCTTGCTGCCTCCCTCACTTGCTCACTGCCTGCCTTACTTACTATCTTAGTCACTGCCTCACTCACTGCCTCACTTACTACCTATCTTACTACCTCACTCACTATCTCACTTACTATCTTACTTACTGTCTTGCTCACTGCCTCCCTTACTATATTACTCACTATCTTGCTCACTATCTTGCTCGCTACCTTACTCACTGCCTCCCTTACTATCTTACTCACTATCTTACTTACTACCTCACTCACTGCCTCCCTCACTATCTTACTCACTATCTCACTCACTACCTCACTCACTGCCTTACTCCCTCACTATCTCACTTACTGCCTCCCTCACTATGTTACTATCTTGCTCACTATCTTACTTGCTGCCTTACTCACTGCCTCACTCCCTCACTATCTCACTCACTGCCTCCCTCACTGTCTTACTTACTGCCTCCCTCACTATCTCACTCACTATCTCACTCACTACCTTACTTACTATCTTGCTCACTGACTCCCTTACTCACTGCCTCACTTACTCACTACCTAACTTGCTCGCTGCCTGCCTCCCTCACTCACTGCCTCCCTTACTGCCTGCCTTGCTGGCTACCTTACTATCTCTCTTACTGCCTGTCTCACTGCCTACCTCTCTCTTGAATGTGGCTAATATTATATATATATATGCCTGTATATAAACCATGGATTCAGCTAATATACTCTATAATTAACTCTGTAATATATATCTCTGAGCACTATGGTATCCCAATTTATATATATTCATTCACTAATATATTAATGCTGACTAACCTTAATCTCTTAATATTATTACCTCTCTTGCTGCCTGTCTTCCTATTAACCTTGCTATCTATCTTACTACTGGTCTTGCTATCTACCTCACTATCTACCTTACTATTCACTTTACTATCTACTATACTATTAACCTTACTGTTGACCTCACTATCTACTATACTATTAATCTTATTATCTACCTTACTAACTATCTCTCTCCTAACTATGGTGATATCCCCCTGATACCTAATTATATATATATATATGGATGTATAAACCATGGATTTGGATATTTATATAAACTAAATATATAATATATATCTCTGCTGCTATTATGGTATCCTAAAATATATATATTTATTTACTTAATATATTAATCCTAATTAACCTTGATCTCCTAATATATATCTATTACTTAATATATGGATGCTAACTAATCTTAATCTACTAATATTACTACCTCTCTTACTACTTACCTTACTATTAACCTTACTATCTACTATGATATTTATATTACTATCTACCTTATTACCTACCTTACTATTGACTACACTATCTACCTTACTATTAACCTCACTATCTATCTTACTGTCTACCTTACTATCTATCTTACTATCTACCTCACTGCCTGTCTTACTGCCTACTTACTGCCTGCCTCACTTACTGCCTCACTTGCTGCCTGCCTTGCTTGCTGCCTACCTCACTGCCTGACTTGCTCACTGCGTGCTTCCCTTACTCACTACCTTACTTGCTCACTGCCTGCCTTGCTTACTGCCTGGCTCATTCACTGCCTCCCTCACTGCCTACCTTAATGCCTGACTCACTCGCTCCCTCACTCACTGCCTCGCTCGCTCACTGCCTGGCTTGCTTACTGCCTGCCTTGCTCACTGCCTCCCTCGCTCACTAACTGGCTTGCTCACTGCCTGCCTTACTAGCTGGCTCGCTCACTAACTCCCCTACTCACTGCCTTGCTTGCTAGCTCACTTACTGACTGGCTTGCTGACTGACTGGCTTGTTCACTGCCTCGCTCACTCACTGCCTCGCTCACTGACTCCCTTACTCACTGCCTCGCTTGCTCACTGCCTAACTTGCTCGCTGCCTGCCTCCCTTGTTCACTGCCTCCCTCACTGCCTGCCTTAATGCCTGGCTTGCTCACTGCCTGCCTTGCTCACTACCTCAGTCACTAACTCCCTTACTCACTGCCTTGCTCGCTCACTGCCTAACTTGCTCACTGCCTGCCTCCCTCACTCACTGCCTGCCTTACTTACTGCCTAGCTTGTTCACTGCCTCCCTCACTGCCTGCCTCAATGCCTGACTTGCTTGCTCCCTTGCTCGCTGCCTCCCTCACTCACTACCTCGCTTGCTCACTGCCTGGCTTGCTCACTGCCTGCCTCCCTCACTTACTGCCTTGGTCACTGCCTCCCTCACTCACTGCCTGGCTTGCTCACTGCCTGGCTTGCTCACTGCCTCCCTCGCTCACTGCCTGGCTTGCTCACTGCCTGCCTCACTAGCTAGCTTGCTCACTGACTCCCTCACTCGCTGCCTCGCTTGCTAGCTCACTCACTAACTGGCTTGCTCACTGCCTGTCTTGCTTGCTGCCCCCTCGCTCACTGCCTGGCTCGCTGCCCCCCTTGCTCATTGCCTGCCTTACTGCCTACCTCACTGCCTATCTCACTATCTACCTCACTATCTACCTTACTGTCTACCTTGCTACCTACCTCTCTCCTAACTATGGTTAATATGATATATATTCCCTGATATGTCACTTATATATATATCCCTGCGTATAAACCACGGATTCGCTAATATACTCTATAAACTAAATGTATAATATATATCTCTGCGCATTATGGTATCCTGAAATATATATATTCATTCATTAATATATTAATGCTGATTAACCTGATCTCCTGATATAACTGCTGTACTAAATAAAATAATATAAATAACTGGCGGTGCCCCTCATGGTTGGGATGCACTAACCTAAAACCCTGGACCACCTGGACTACCTGGGCCTTATTCTACCTATCTTACTGCCTGCTTCACTGCTGGTCTTGCTGCCTGCCTTACTACCTGCCTTACTACCTGCTTCACTGCCTGCCTTACTATCTACTATACTACCTATCTTACTGGGTTCTTCCTGCTGGTCTTACTGCCTATCATGCTGCCTGCCTCACTACCTGCCTTACTACCTCCTTCACTGCCTGCCTCACTGCCTACCTTACTACCTGCCTTACTGCTTATCTTACTACCTGCCTTGCTGCTTACCTCGCTGCCTGCCTTGCTGCCTGCCTTACTACCTGCCTTACTGCCTGTCTTCCTGTCTGCTTCACTGCTTACCTCACTGCCTGCCTTACTGCCTACCTACTGTCTACCTTGCTGTCTACCTCGCTGTCTACCTTGCTGTCTACCTCGCTGTCTACCTCGCTGTCTACCTTGCTGTCTACCTCACTGTCTACCTCGCTGTCTACCTTGCTGTCTACCTCGCTGTCTACCTTGCTGTCTACCTCGCTGTCTTGCTGCCTGCCTTACTATTAACCTCACTATCTACCTCACTACCTGTCTCACTTTCTGCCTGCTGTTCTGCCTGCCTCATGCATGACCTTCCTGGGGCCTTATGATCTACTATACTACCTTGCTTGCTATCCTGATCACTACCTCACTGCCTGCTGTTCTCCCTGCTATTTGACCTGCCCTTCTGCCTCCCATTCTGCCTCCTATTCTGTCTACCTCACTGCCTATCTTGCTGCCTGCCTTACTGCTTGTCTTCCTGTCTGCTTCACTGCTTACCTCACTGCCTGCCTCACTGTGTACCTTCCTGTCTACCTCACTGCCTACCTCACTGTCTACCTACTGTCTCTCTTGCTCCCTCCCTACCTACTACCTATGTCTATCATAACTATGGTTGATATTATATATATGCATATGTATAAACCACTGATTCAGCTAACATACTATATAAACCAACCGTATAATATATATCTCTGCGCATTATGGTATACTAAAATATATATTCATTCCCAAATATATCAATGCTGATCGACCTCGATCTCCTGACATAACCGCCGTAACCAACAAAATGATGTAAATAACTGGCTGTGCCCCTCGTGGTTGGGGTGCGCCTGCCCTAAAAACTGGACCACCTGGGCCTCATCCTGCCCATCAACCCCCATTCCCTGCAACCAGCGCTGCCATATGGGCTCGATCTGGCCCTGCCATGGCCCGAATAACATCATGGCCACCATGGGGATCAAAAACCCGCGGTATTCGCATGCATGGCCTGGCTCCCACCCACAGCATATGGATTGGGGCATGCCGCACGAAAAACACGCGCTATACGGGGCATATTGCACTTGCCGACGCACGCGGATCATCCATGCCCGTGCGGCCTGGCTGTGGGGCTAATGACATGCATATAACTCATGGCCACCATCACCCCCTACATGGCGCATATATAACATTAGTCCCGCCACTGCATGCATTCGGCCTGGGCCATCTCCTCATCCAAACCCTGCTGGGTCTGATGCTGCTGCTGCTGGATATCCATGGCAGCCCACTACTGGGCCTGCGCCTGCTGGGCGTGCCATACTGCCATCAGAATGGATGGCTGGCTGCAAAATAACTCATTGGATAGGGTGGGACTGGCGGCGTCCCTAGCGGCCTCACATGGTACCTGGCTCTGGCTGACCTGGGGTGCCTCTCTCCCTGCCTCACTGCCTGCCTCGCTGCCTGCCTCACATGGGGCCTCTGGGGCTGCCTCACCCAGCACTAGGCTACTACCAACCCTGGCTGGATCCACCTCCGGCTCTGCCCAATTGGGATCACACCCATCACATATCTGCTCCCCAGGATCCGCATCCTGGCAATACCGCCGCTGATACCCGTCCACCACTCCGTCCAAATACTGATCTAACACGACCCAGCGGCACCCAATGCCTTCCACCACCCCCATATACTCAGCAACCCGCTCCTGGTCCTCATGGGCGACGCCCTCCATCCATGGAGCTAGGGCATCCCACCCAGCTGGCTGGATAATAATTGCCTCACTGCGCTGTCCATCTCGCCCAGCCCGGCCACTCTCCTACGCGTAATCCAGTAACATCCGGGGGGTCCCAATATGGATGATGCTGCGGATATTAGGGATGTCCACCCCCATGCCTAACGCGCTGGTGGCGGCGATCACGGGGCTGGCCCCCATGAACCGCGCCAGCACCCCGGCCTTGTCCAACTGCTCACTGTAATACGCCTCACACCCAAGCACCCGCGCCATGGCCGTCACCTGCCCAATGATATTCGCATATATGATGACCTTCCCCCAGCAGCCCATTGGATGCGGTCCTGAATGAATGCCACCACCGCCTCACTCTCAATCCACTGATATGGGCCCGGCCCACCCCGGTCATGTCCGGCCGCCACACCCGGTATACCACGTTCAGCCGGCTGGTCCAGGCCCGGTATATGGTCACGGCGGCCCGGTCATACTTCATCCACCGGCATAATTCGGCCTCCATGCTCGGGGGCAACGTGGCGGTCAACCATACCATCTGGGTGCGGGCCTGGACCAACCGGCCCAGCTGAGCCATCTGGGGCCGGAAATCGTGCTGGGAATTCAACACCACATGGCATTCATCGATCACAATCCGGTCCAACCGCCGGGTCCACCGCAGCCGGTTCAAAAACGTCTGGAAATCGGGGCTCACCGCGGATTCAGGCGTCACCAACACGATGGATGCGGCATCGGGGGCCGCCGGCTCTCCCATGGCACACACGATATGCCGAGCTCCTGGCAGCGCCTGGTCATATCAGCCCGTAATGCGACGAGTGGCACCACGATGATGGTGGTGCCCCCGGGGGCGGCGAATGCGGGCACCATGAACAGCATGCTCTTCCCCCCACCGGTGGGCATCACCGCCACCACGGGGCTCTCACCCCGCTGGATGGCCCGCATCGCCGGGTCCTGCACCCCCCGGAACTGCATGTCGGGCCGCCCGGTCATGCGCTGCGCGGCAGCCTCCAGATCCATGGTGGCCAGCTGGTGGCGGCGTTCCATGCGGCTGACCTCGGCCTCATCCTCCCACGGGGCCGTTTGCGCTTGCCTAATATGGATGGGTGGCCGGGGCGCTATACCCTAAAAACTGATGCCAATCGGTGCTGGATAACCGGAACATCTCCCGCCGGTGGGCCGTGCTGCCGGCCTGTTCCTGCATGACACGGCCATATACCATGCCGGCGACATGTGATGAATGGGCGGCCTGTAAATCAGTAATATGGCCTATCCACTGCTCAATATCCATGCCCTCCTCGGCATCAGCATCCATGGCAGCTGGGGCCGGCTCGGCCTCCTGGATATTATGGGGGAACGCGGTGGACGGCCGCAAAAATCAGCGGCTGATGCCAATGGCGATGTCCCGGTATGCGGCGATATGGATGGCGGTGCCTAGCCGGGTGTGGGTTTCCCGTTTTCAACGCCTCCCGGAACCGCTCGGATGACCATTCGCGGCCAGTACCGGGGTCGGGGCCCCATAACCATGCCTGCGCGGGCTGGCTCCCCTGCGCGGCGTCACTTCCCTGCGCGGCCCGGCTTCCCTGCACAGCGTGACTTCCCTGCACGGCGTGACTTCCCTGCACGGCGTGACTTCCCTGCACAGCGTGACTTCCCTGCACGGTGTGACTTCCCTGCACGGCGTGACTTCCCTGCGCCGCCTGACTTCCCTGCACGGTGTGACTTCCCTGCGCTGCCTGATTCCCTGCGCCGCCTGCGCCGCCTGCCATGCAGCCAACTGATTAATGAATGGCATCACCAGCCACATATACCATACTACTAACTCCCCGACCTCCCGCGGCACATATCGATGGATGATCTTCACATCATTGCTAGCGTGGAACCCCTTATGATATGCCGTCACAAATGTCACCATGCCATCCTCGATATATATATTCCGCCGTTGACTGTTCGCCGTGTTGCAATGCTGAATGCTTAACAACTCCGGGGCCCGCGCCGGCTGCCCCGCGGTGACATGCACCAGAATGGCTAATTTCTCCTTGAACTGGGCCACGCGCTGCCAGTACTGCTGGATGGCACCGCGGTGGAATCGGCCCCCCCGCAGGAAATGCCGCTGCATGACCGGCTCGGCCCACAGCCGGTCGATCATCCAGTGGGTCCCATCCACCGGCCACTGGGTCCGTGCGTCGTGCAAAAAGTTCCACCCCGCCTGGCTCTGGCTGGGATCGTCATATAATGCCGTCCAGGGAATGGCAGGCATCTGCGCATGATCCTGCATGCATAAATGGCCAAGTATCTCCCTCACTGCAGTTACTAATCCATGGATGAATCCCCGAAAATCCCCCATTGTGAATGCCATCTGCTGATATAACAGTTGGTCCTCCCCCATCCATGTCACATGTCCGGGCGCGGTATGATTATAATGGACCTTTAATCCATACGTGCGCCAGTCTAGCAATGTTTCCATGGGGCCGTGTGTCCCACGGATCATAAACTGGTGCATCATCCATGTCACCTGCTCCTGGAACGGTCGGCGGCTCTGGCGAATGTTGACCGCGGGCAATGGATCATCGCTATGGATGGATGATGGCGGCGATGATGGTGGCAATGATGGGGGGTCATCGCTGCCATATCCCTCATCAATCTCCCCAAGTTGATCATCTGCGCTAGCTAGCACCCATTCAGCGCTCTGGTCCTTTTGTATCCAGGTCTGAATGATCTGCCATGGATTCGGGTCCATCCATAATGCTTTCTGGACCACCATGAATCGGGCCACCTTGATCACGCGGATAATATTGGTAGCTCTCTGGGTCCGCCAGCCAGCCTCACCCTGACCAAGTACGGCCATGGCGCATACTAATGCACTCTCATATTCGTGGCTGCGATGGCGCTGGTTGAGCAGCTCAATGCAAAATTCTAAGCATGCTTTTTTATAGCAGTCATCGCCCATACCTCTAGGTCCTCTGGGTTCTCCAGGTCCTCCAGGTCCTCCCGGTCCTCCCGGTCCCTGGAACTGCGGCCTGGCTAGCGAGCTGCCACAGCT